CTTCTCCTTCTCCGCCCTTCTGTTTTTCTCCCTTTCTTTGTTCATAGCTGTACAAAGCCGAACAAACTTCTCTGAGAGAAATTTTGTCATTTTCATGGAGTAGAGTAGTTTCAAAGTGCTCGTACTCATTTGGAAGTGACCCCAACAACATCAAGGCCAAGTCACCATCATCAAAAGTTGCATCCATATTTTGCAAATCTGTGACCAACTTATTGAAACTGGTGATATGTTCATTCATTGTGGTACCAGGAACATAGGTGAAGCGAAACAGTCTCTTCTTCATGTACAATGTATTTTGACTGTTTTTCTTCAAAAATTTATCCTCTAGTGCTTTTCATAATTTACTTGCAGAAGTTTCCTTTGTGTATGGATATTTCTGCTCTCTAGCAAGGTAGGATCGAATGGTACCGCAAGCAACACGATCTTTTGACAATTTCAACACTTACTCTTGGGGTGACTCGAACTCACAACCTCTTGGTTGGAAATGGAGGGTGCTCACCCCACTCTTCCTCTTATGAACCAAATAGATAGAGAAAAAAGTGAAGGATTAAAGGAATATAATAGAGGAGCTCACGGATTGAAGTTAGAGTAGTAGTCTTTCGAGTGGACACAGGACAGCATAGAATTTGTAAGTATATACTAAAATCTGGACCGACTATGAGAATAACTACAAAAATGAGAAACATGAGTATCAAAAATATAAAGTCCAAAAAAAATTCAAACTTCTATAGACGAGGGAAATTGCGAACTTTATTCTAAGTTATTCATATATTTTAATATTAGATCTATGATGTTAGTTAAATAAAGTAACCTTCAATTAATACGACTTATTGACCTCTCTATTAGTATCATATTCATAAGTGTGATTAGAATTTTGATTGTTAAACTGTGTGACTCGTCATCATTTATTATTAAAGATGGTTTTTATTTCTCACTGTGGAGCAAAAGGTGGTTAAGATCGTGGATGTCCAATAGAGCAAATCTTCTGTTATTTGGCAGTTTTATGTGGGGAAGGAAAAGTTCATATAATGCACTTGGTCAAATTTGACAAACTTGGAAAATTAAAGTCCATTAGTAGAGTAGTAATTATTAAGGAATCAAAATCTAAATTATGCTTCTAAATAAAAAGAATTTCTTGCTTTATAGGCAGACTTATTCTTGTAAAATTTCTCTCTGATAATTAGAAATCTGAATCTGAGAATACAATGTAGTACAGCTTTTTATACGTTTCTTATTAATTAGGGGACCTTATGTTGTTGAACAAATTTATGTCTGTTCACTTCTAACACGTAAGTACTCCATTCGTTTCATTTCATGCTGGTAGAGTTTGGTCGATAAAGAGTTTTCAAGAAACAGTCTGGAAGGGAGGGAGCCGAAGGTATATCGGAAACTAATTTTCGTATACATTATTGTTTACAGACCCCACTAATAAAATTATACTGGGTTAAATTATTGTTGTTATTGTTATTGTACTACCTATTATAGTAGGCCAAATTACAATGATGGTATACAAATTCATGTTTATAATATCAACTTCTTAACACTATTTTGTCAAATTTATCTGTTGTAATTGTGAACTTGCCTAATTATCAAAATTACTACCTTACTTTTTATGAAAGCTTATCTTTAAATATCTTTTAAATAATTTAACGGTATAAAGATTTCTTATCCCTACCCTACCTTGGGGTAGAGAGGCTGTTTCCGATAGATCCTCGGCTCCCTTCCTTCAAGACCTCCCCATTTTGTTCATGGGGTGACTCGAACTCACAGTCTCTTGGTTGAAAGTGGAGGGTGCTTACCACCAGATCAACCCACTCTTGTGACTAGCTAAACTCATATATATACATAAATTCCCCCCCCCCCCCCCACACACACACTTCTTTCACCATTCCTTTAAAATCTTCTATTCGAACAAACTCTGCCTAGCATTAATTGCCCTATACAACAACGAAATTAAAGAAACTTCCATTCATAATTCACCACCAACCATCAAAATCCAACAACAAGAAACCTACAAACAAAGAAAAAGGTACCACACATAAATTTTTTACCCTATTACTATATACCATTCAAACTTCAAGACTTCTCCTCTTTATTTCATTCAAAAGCCCAAAGAAAAAAACAGACAAAATGAAACTCCCTTCTCTCTTTAAAATTACAGAAAACTCTTCTCTTTCTCCATTACCATGGCCATTGCCACCTTGTAAAAACCCTAAAACTCTCTCTTTTCGAGCTGAAAACCATAACATTTTCAGTGAATATTATGGTTATTCAGAGTTTTCCAACGATGTTGATAACATAGAGACAGTGATTGAAGGCCTAAAAACAGAAAAAAAGAGGCTGTTTTTTGAGCCAGGGAAAACTAGTTCTATTCTTGAAGAGGCAAAAAATAGTAATGGTTTTGAGTTTCTTCCATTTAAGGAGTCATGTGTGGTGATGACAATGGATTCAATGGACCCTTTTTTGGATTTCAAGAAATCAATGGAAGAAATGGTAGAAGCAAATCATGAGATTAAAGATTGTGAAAAATGTCTTGAAGAGCTTTTGACTGCTTATTTGAAGGTTAATGAGAAAAGTAATCATAGATATATTATTAATGCATTTTTTGATTTGTTGATTAGCCTTTCTATTAGTAAAAATTGTGTGGCTTCTTCTCTAATTTCAACTAGCCATTCTTTTACTTCTCCATTGTCATTTTGTTCTTCTAGTTTTTCTACTAGTCCTTGTTTGTCTTTGTTAGAAGCTGAGGATGAGATTATTGTGAAAAATGTTGATAGTGTAATTTCATCTTCAGATGTTTGAAAAAGAAGAGAAAGATGTAGAAAAAAATACCTTATTATAAATGTAATATTATGTAGTTTTTTTTCTTTTATGTTTGTTGTCTCTCTCTTTATGTCTGTTGGAGTAATTAGTAAAAACATTAGTGCATTAGTTCCTTATCTTAACATGAAATGGAAGGAGCTAACATTTAATAATACGTTGATCTTAAGATTTTTCATCATACTTTGACTTGACACGCAGTTGCATCAATATTTGAACTAATACAAATTTTAATTTTCGCCTCAATTTTGTAAGTTGATGAAGGTTTATTTATCTACTATTTAATTTTTACAATGCGTAATTTGTTTGTTCTTGTTTTTTCTTTCATTTCCCGTTTACTGGTCAAGGTCAGAGCCTTCTTTTACCTCCTAGGGTACAGCCTACTTCCTGAACAGGTTAAAAGTTTGTCTTTGACTTCAAAATAGAATTATGGTCATTAATCAATAAATCACCTTTTTAATCGTAAGTAATTTTTAATAAAAGATACAAAATCTACTTTCTCAAATTTGTACCGTTATAAATATTAGGCAAATTAAGACAAAATAAATAATTTTTCTAGAAAAAAATTCCTTTTCAGAGAAGGTAAAGCTGATTCCTTTAAAGGAAATCCAAACATAAATTTTCCTTTGTGGGAGTGAGTAATAGCCGTATGGCCAAGCTTCTCCAATGCCAAAATTACTTTTTTTTTTTTTTTTTTTCCAAAAGCACTTTCTTTTCTTAACTTAAGGTGTTTTACAAAGCTTTTTTTGGGGGAAAAAAGTGCTTTTGGAAGGAACAGAAGCAATTTCTGAGAAGCAGAAAAAAGTAGCTTCCTCTCAAAAGTAGAAGTAGTTTTGACTTTTCTTCTTACCAAAAATACCCTTAACAAAATATAGTATGTACCAAAATAACCGTTAAATTTAATACTTAGGATATTAATGTATAAGTATTTCTTCTTATTTTTAGGATAGTTTTCTAATATATAGTGACTTTATGGGTGAATACTTTTATATTTGTTGAATGATTTTTAATATATTTGAATAATATTAAAAGAATTAAAGTACTTTTTAATTTTATTTTCATATTTTACTTAAATAAAATGAAAAGATTTAATTGTTGCCTATAATAAATTTTTTTTGAGATTATTTATTTACTTATAATATTAACTATTAAGTAAATCTATTCATGTCCTTATTTGTAATATGATACTTAAAAATACTTTTTGAAAAGCTTGATCAAACACAATTTATTGCTCAAAGTACTTTTTAGAGTGATTAGCCAAACACAAACTAGTTCATTCTAAAAATACTTTTTTCAAAAGCACTTTTTAAAAAAAATATTTCTCAAAATAAACTGATTTTTTGAGCTATGTTATAAGTTAGCAACAAATGAAGATTGGTTCAACAGTATCCTGCCATTAATGGTCAACAGAAATCTAAATACCTGTAGTAGGTGGGTAATAAATATTTTAGGGGTACTTAATCATTAATACTTTATGTAATAGTACAATCCAAATTTGTACACTTGTCCTAATAGGACTTTAATAGAGCAAAGTCAGTGGACCAGTCAATGACAAACAAAAACAAAAAACATATACACATTGGCCCAGATGTTGCAGAAATTACATTTTACACATACTCTATTTTTTATTATTTATCACCGATATCGGTATTAGAGCTCGACTAAATATGAATTTACTTCAAAAAATCCCACAACGAGAGATAAAATCTTCCTAATAAAGGTTGTTTCATATCTAGAGCGAACTCGAGAACTTCAATTAAAGATGAAGGAATATTTATTACTACTACAATATTATTGGTACACTTACATTAAGTTGATAAATCACGACAAGCCCAAATTTTCAAATTGGAAGGTTATTATCAATTGATAGCTACAATACTACAGGGACTGAATTTTTTTAAGTGGTCCTTTTCTGCAAAAGCATAAAACCCAAAATTTGAGAAAAGTAAATAATCAAAGCATTCTTCTTTTGGACATTTATGGTTAATAACTGGATTTGTCTTTTTAAAGTGAGAGCAATTTTGTATTGATTTTAGTATGAAGAGGATTCCACTTGCCATGTAACTTGCTCAAGGTAAAAACAAAAAGTTAATTGTCTTCTATTAAAATTTAAAATTTAAAATTTAAAATTTAAAATTTAAAATTTAAATATAAGAATGCAAAAACTTCCAAAAAAATTTAAAAGAGGAACACAAGTCTGCAATATATTGTACAGTGTTTATGATTGCGTTGTTTCGGATGGGAGAGGCATTCTTTCTTGTTCTCTCCTCTCCATTAGGTTGTACTTTAAAAAAAAATTAATTTTTTTACAGTGGGGAACAGGGAAGCAAGAAAAGAAATTATGGGCGTCTACGTCAAACAAATAAATATAAAGTGTAAGTATTTTGTATAAAAACTTTTGTCTCTTAATCATAGTTAAATGAATTGTGTTTCACTTTAATGTAACTCTTAGTAAGATTAATTATTTGACGTGGTGTACATATAAGATAAAGTAAATATTTTTGCAGATAGAATCACATATATGGGAATCCGAAGCCTTCACCTAAATGGTGAAAGAATAAGCTTATCGATTGAACTACTCATAATATCTTCACGATTTCTTTAAAGAAAAACACTTCTAAAACTCTTACACAAGCAGATTTAGAAGAGATATTATTAAACTGAAAACAAAAATGTAAAAAACATAAATACTTAAAGGAGAAAAACAAATTCATAAAGAGGGCATTATCACGTAAGATTACCGATTTCTTCTCTTTTTTTACTCTGTCTTTGTTATTCCTTTAATCCTAATCAGTAATTGCAGACAACTTAAGCCCATAATTCTTTTCAAACCAACCAGTTTCTGTTAGACAAATTTCCTGCATCCTTTTTAGACGTGAACAAAAAGAGGAAAAATATAGAGTTATACGAAGGTATTATTTCATTTCTTGTATTGATATGGTCCCATATTACTTCAATCCTCATTGGCCAATTGGAAGGGAGCCCGGGAGCAACGGTAAAGTTATTTTTGTATGACCTATAGGTCACGAGTTTAATTCGTGGAGTCAGCCATCGTTGCTTGCATCAGAGTATACAGTTATATCACGCCCCTTAAGGTGTGACCCTTCCCCGAACCCCTACGTGAATGCGGGATATTTCGTGCATTGCGCTGCCCTCACTGATTTTGATCCTTCACTATCTAATAAGCAGCAAAGGCATGAAAATAAAAACAAGAAATGAAATTATTCTTTTCGAGAAGAGAATGTGACTGCCAAAAGATTAAACAGCATGACTTGGTGGTCCTGATTATTACTAACATTTTCATACTTTGTTCTGATATATGATGCCATGAACTGCACAACTTGCCACTTCTTGTTCAGCAAGTCAACTACATGGATATTTCATTTGTATATCTCATATTTTTTGTAGGATTGAGATTATGATTTAACAAGAAATTGTTGGCTTTTTAGTTAAAAATGAGGTGAATGGGAAATGGTTAAGTCGCTTTACGGACTAAAACAAGCACCCAAATAATGGCATGCGAAATTTGACCCAACAATATTGTCAAATGATTTTAAGATGAACATTAAAAATATTCCAAATCACAGTCATTGTTTGCTTATATGTGGATAATATACTGATAATGAGTTATGACATTGCCAACATAAATGCGACTAAGCGTATGCTAACTAGCAAGTTTGATATGAAAGATTTGGGAGTTGCCGATTTAATTTTGAGTATTAAGATCAATAAGACTCCTCAAGGTCTGGTATTGTCACAATCGCATTACATTAAAACAGTACTTGAAAAATTCAAGCACTTAGATTTTAAAGTTGCAAAGATTTCAATTGACGTGAATCTTGCACTAGCAAAGAACAAAGGCCAAAACATATCACAATTGGATTATGCTCGTGTGTTGGGATGTTTAATGTATATCATGAATTGTACACGACTAGATATAGCTTGTGCTATAAGCCAATTGAGTCGATACACGAGTAATCCAGGTCAATCACATTGGATGGCAATGAAACAAGTTTTGGGACATTTAAAACATACCCAAGATTTTGCTTTGCATTACAGTAAATATCCTGCGGTGATTGAGGGATACTACGATGCAAATTGGATTACCGGTTCAACTGATTCTAAGTCCACAAATGGATATGTATTCATAATTGGTGGAGGAGCGATATCTTGAAAGTCGTCCAAACAAACTTGTATTGCCCGCTCTACAATGGAGGCTGAGTTCATAGCCTTAGATAAAGCCGGTGAAGAAGTTGAATGGCTCCGAAATTTTTTGGAAGATATTCCATTTTGGCCCATACCGTTGGCACCAATATTTATACATTGCGATAGTCAGGCGGCAATCAAAAGGGCTGAGAGCGTTATTTATAAAGGAAAATATCATCATATACGATGAAGACATAAAACCATTAGGCAATTACTCTCTAGAGGAATTATCACGATTGACTAAGTGAAGTCAAGCGATAATGTGTCAGATCCACTTATGAAAGGCCTAACTAGAGAGGTAGTTGAAACATCATCGAAGGGAATGAGACTATGGCCGAGGACAAGTCATTGTGGCGGTAACTCTATCTAGAAGACTGGAGGTCCCAAGATCTAGGTTCAAGGAGATCAAACAAAGTCATTAATAGCGGTTCAATATCGTCAAATAAAAATAATTTAGTCCATTATCGTGATGAGAGAATGTTCAATACCAAGGATAAAACATTAAAGCTTTTTCATGGTTTCTAAATTTGATACAGGGGATATCAAATAGTGTATCTACGAGATGACACGTTTAGGAATCACCTATGTAAGTGCGAGTTGTTAGCCGCTTCAAGGAGAATGTTTTAAGGCTACGCACTTATAAAACCAGGCGGTGTTCATGGCTGAAATGAACACAACAATGAGAACCAAAAAAAGTTAAGGGTTGATTGTGTGGCTTATGGTTGTTTAGGTATACACCAAAGTTTCACAGTTCAAAGATATCAAATCTACCAATT